GTTGGTGATCTCATTCAGGGCTCAGTAGTCGGCGCAAAACCGCCAACTGCCATCCTTCTTGCGAACTAGCAACACCAGTGAAGAATAGGCACTGCAACTTTGACGAATCAACCCTACTTCTAGCATTTCACAAATGAGTCTCTCCATTTCTAGCTTCTGAAAATATGGGTAGCGATACGGGGCGCACGTTAACTGGATTAGCGTTGTGCAAGATGGGGATTTGATGATCCGTGTTGCGAAGCGGAGGGAGTATTGTCGATTGAACGAAGGGACTAGCATAATGATCCAATAGCTTCTCCGCGTCAGCTGGACATGACAGCTTCGAGGATTTTGAAATAGGCGAAGATGTGATTTGAAGATGAAAATCTCAAGAATTGCCCCAAAGGAAGCCATTATGTGGAACTGAGCTGCAGTAGCCTCTGTGGGTTTGGGCTTGGGTTGTCTCACTAATTGCACCACTCGACCATCCTTCACAAACTTCATGGTAAGAGTATCATAATCCATAAAAACAGGCCCAAGAGATTTGAGCCATTGTATACCCAAAACCAAATTCACCCCACTTAATAGTAAAGCAAATAAGTCTACCAAAAATTGATGGTTGTCAATCTTCAGGTCCACTTGTGGACAAAAAGCCTCACACAGAATTGCTTCGCCATTACCGACCATCACAGAAAACGGTTGGGCCATATGAAACTCCAATCCCAAAAAATGTGCCACTCGCTCCTGAATGAAATTGTGGGTACTCCCACTATCCACTAGAATACTCACTTGGGATCTACCAATAATCCCTTTGATTCGCAAAGTTTGCAGGGTGGTGTATCTTGTCATGTGTGGATACTAATTTGTGCATCTGAAGGTTCTGCTTCCGGTTCCGGTTCTGGATCTGAAGGTTCTGTCATGTGTGAATTGACGTTTACATCGGTGCCCACGCACATAACGTCCGTCGCAGTAATAACTCAAGCCTTTTTCTCTCCTCACTTGTAAATCTGCTGGCGTCATTCTAACGGTTTAAGTCACCGCTTTAGAATTTCAATTTGTTGATGAAGAGGAAGCCGTAAGTAACGGCTTGACGTTCGTTGATGTTGGAAGGATTCCCGCAAACGTGGTGTTTGTCGCCTTGAAAGACGAAGTACCGCCCGCTACTGTGGCGCTGTAGCGCGTTTTGGAGCCATTAATCTTTTCCTCTTGGAGTTTGGCCAATCTTATAGCCTCAGAGATCGTTGCCGGACGAAACGACACCACTTCCAGTTGGATTTCAATGAAGCAACTAAGGTAGAATGGCGCCAACAATCCAGTCACTAGATTGGCTAATGTCTCAAACTGAGATTGGTACTCTCACCGTAGTGGTTTGCGTCAGCTTCACAGCGCTCCTTGAGGGTCATCAAACTCGGAAGTGGCAAAACGCTGCTCCAAAGCTCGTATGAACGCAGCCCACGTTGTGAACTATTCGTTATCATGCAACCATTGGTACCACACTAATGCTTCACCTTCCATATAGAACGACACGATTCGTAGCCTGATCTTCTGGGGTACCGTGAAAATCGAAGAACTGGTTCGCCTTAAAGATCCAACCCAGGGGGTTTTCACCATCGAACTTAGGGACGTCCAGCTTGATGCTGGTAGGCATTTTTAAAGGGTGACCAGAGCTATCAATCATTAACTCAACTCCAGGTTTCTTCTCCTCGTTCTTCTTTTCGAGCGCTTCAACCTTGGTAGCGAGTGTTTTGAGGGTAGAAATCAACGTTTCCATAGTAGCAGAATCGATGGAGGAACCTGCCATGCTCTCAATGAAAGCACCAAAATGGTGTGTTCAGAACCAGAATGGGGATAAGAGGAGAAAAGAATTGAAGGAAGAAGGAAGAATTTGCAAATTAGAGGAGAGAAAGGAAGCAGTTGGAGAGAGAGAAGGGAAAATCTTTCTTAATTATTTTTTGTTACCCAGAATATTCTTTATAACGCATATATAGATGTTAGCATAACTAACTTTTGAGAATTGAGAAAAGACAAAAGAAAATAATAACAATGTAACAATATTCTCCTAGTATTTTCCTTTCTTGCCCTTACATTTGATATTAGGCACCAAGTAGTCACGCATCCAAAGTGGTTTCTGCCTATTCCTCTTGGGCTTGGTAACATCTAGCCCATCTGCTAATGCCACCTCCTCATCCATGAAGTCCTCATCTTCTGCATTATCTTTCTTCTCCTAGCACAATCTCTGAGTCTTGGATCATATTAGAAGAATGGAAAATTTCGTATAAGGACCCCTATTTATAGGCAAAAAAATTTTTAAATTTTTTTGGCACTGTTCACGCTGAAGTTACTGTTCACACTGTCTTACTGTTCACGCTGAAGTTACTGTTCACACTGCCTTACTGTTCATACCAGAGTTACTGTTCACGTTGGAATCACCGTTCTCCGACATTGTTCACACGGTTTGCACTGTTCATAAATACTGTTCACTTTTTTTTTTCTTTCAAAACTCCATTTAAATCTATTTCAATACCAAATAATCATTCAATTAACATCTAATGAATATAAAATATTACAGATTTTCTCAATAATATATTACAGGCCTGATAAATACTTTCATTACACATAATTTACTCTCTAACATATCTATGATTTCAAAGGTCATAATATTTTAAAAAAAATTCTAAAGTTTTTTACATAAACTTTGGTGACAACTGCCTTAATTTCTAAAAAACATTTTTCTTAATACAATTTATAGTCCGCTTACGACCCTCATTATCACACTATAATAGTAAGTGAAGTTCAATTTCAGAACAAAATAAATTAAGATACTCGCTACCAAGTTGCCATTTAAAGCCATGAACGCGTAACTTCACCGATAATTAATCAGCTTGTCACTAATGATTATAAATTTGCATGATCCAAAGTATGCAAAGGGGCGAAAATACAAGAACGATGAAGGTGGACGCTAAATTCTCAGGTGAGGGAAAGGTTAGATTAGTGGCAGCTAAAGGGATCCTAACTCAGTATATGGATGATAAGCTCCCATTTTCCCTGATGTATTGAGGTGAAGCGGTCTTGCATGTCGAAGTGAGCATTTCCTCAACGATAATGGTTTTGAGCACACAAGAAGAACATGTCCTATCGGTAGAGAGGTTAAAAATTATGAAATTAATTTGTTCATTTAAGTTTTACTAGAAGCAAATTATTTTTATAAAATTATAATATTTAGGATATAAGATAATGTGACTATATATATATATATATATATATATATATATATATATATAATAAATAATACACAAAGTAAAAGAAAATCATACACTAGGTTATAAATCATTAGAAAAATTAATAATAAAAATAAAGTGTTTGAATTTAAAATATTTGAGAATTTAAAATATTTGAATGAGTATTTTAATTAAAAAAACTCATTATAAAAAATTTAAGAAAGCATAAATTATACTTATTTGACAATTGAAAATAATATAAATCATACATCAATATCATAAAATATTGTACAAAATGTAATATTATCAAAATAATTTAATTTTAATTAATAATTAATTAACAGATAATTAAAGTCAAAAGATTTAATAAAATAAATACTTAATTAATTAAAAATAAAATATAAGAAATTTATATCACATAAAATTAAGTTAATATTAATACACGTATATTTTAATAATCTATAACATATATCGGTAAAGAAAATATACGTGAACATTATAAATTAATAAAAAGATTTAATTTATTATTCTAATATTTTGATACAATTTAAAAATTATATAATTTATTAATTATAAAATAAAAATAAATTTAAATGATAATATATCCATTTTTTTTTACTAAAATAATGATACATATAAATTTTTAAAACAACGAAATTAAATAATAGACAACTTACAACAAGTAATTTAATTTGATTCAACATCACAAGAATTTAATTATGAATATAACAACATAATATCAATAATCAATTATAAAATAATACAAAAAATATTAATTTTTTCTCAAAATACATCTTTAATTAAAAATTAAAAATTAAATTTATAACATACTAACTTATTTATTTTAAAATATTAGTTAATATATTCTAAAAATATCCTAATTATAATTTATTGAAATATTTTAATATTTTTTATTTAAGTAAGTTTTGATATTTGTATTAAATATATGCTTAATATAAATAAAAAAATATTTTTTTATTATCAACACTATAATATAGATAATTAATAATAAGAAAAATATAAATATATATTTTTAAAAATTGAATTAATATAAATTAATTTATTAAATACAAAAAATATAATTTTATACAAACATATGATTAATATAAATTGATATTTATATTTGAATATTTAATTTTGATAAATCATAATAAAAAAATAACCTTTAATATATAATATTCTTGCTCATATGGTTTATTTAAAGTAATTTTACAAATAATAAAAAAATTATAACTTTAATTTTTTATTTTAATAAAATTAAAATTTTATTACCCTTTCTTATATGTGAAATAATCATTAATTTTAAATTAATAAATAATAGAATTAGTGATTTAGTTAAAAAAAACATTAATATCCTTTTATCTTTAAGATATTAAGGAAATCACAATTTTTAATCTAAATAATTTTTTTAATTGACGTCAAGGAGACACAATAAAATTTTGTACATAACAATTTTTTAATAAAAATAGAAAGATATCATAGAATTATAATTTTAAATAAAAAAATTGTACGTATTAATTTCTTAACCTAAATGAATTTAAAATATTTGTAAAAGAATCTAAATAGTTAATGATAATACAAATCAATTAATTACTCAGTATTTAAATGAATAAAGATTGAACTTGAATGTTTACTCAGCAGATACGTGAATTATATCTTAATTGATATTTTTATTCCTTGAAAAGTTTTGTGGTGTGTGTTTGAAGGGCTATTCTATATATATGTATAGATCAATACTATCACAAACCCAAAGTAAAACATTGATAGCTGATTTTAGATAAGTCCAACTTTAGAGTTTGCGAGATGAGTAACGATGATCTTTGGGCGAACCTTCACTCTGATTTGTTGAATCAAATTGTTAAGTACATACCTTCTTGCGAGGATTACGCTCGACTTCGTCTTGTTTGTAAACCGTGGACTCTGACGCTTGCAAAGACTCCGGAGCACAAATATCCATTGTTAGTGACTTTACCTCCAGTTGAAGATTTTATTGAAACTCATGGTCTAAGAGAAAAAGAGATTAATCAAATGAGATTGCCGCTGCAGAACCACTTGTTTCGAGGGTCATGTTGTGGATTCCTAGTCATCCTTGGGGTATCTGATGGATCATTGCATTTATTGAATCCATTTACAAAGGTTAGCTTTGATCTTCCCCCAATCTCAACTTTCCCAGATATAGTTGATTATTTGCCTGAAAATATTGGGAATGAATATATTATGCGGGATATGGTGGATGGCTCAACTGGAACTATAGGGCGAAATCATATGAATAAAACAGCGGTCTATAAGATAATTATTTCTTCCCCTCCCGATTGTGACACACATGATTTCATGGCTGTAATTATATACAGTCATTATTGTAGATTGGGTTTCTATAGAACTGGTGATGGTGGTTGGACAGATATACCAACAACGAGAGAATATAGGTGTGAATTTTATGATGTTATTTTTTACGAAGGAAAGATATATGCATTGGATTGGAACGGTCAACTCTATGAATTTGATATGCATACGAAACCTATACCCCTGGGAGGAGTCACTAAAGCCAAACCTCCATGCGGAGTTCAACGATCTTACGGCCCTGATGATTGGAATTTGAAGTATCTTACTGCACATGGTAATGGCAGGTTGTTAATGGTGGTGAGGCATTATGTCTTTACAGATGAATATCCTGGTTCATATCAGACTAATAATTTCAATATATATATGTTGACCAAAAATGAACTTGTGTGGTCCAGATTGTATAATCTAGGGAACTATACCTTGGTGTTTGGATTAAATTCATCTGTTTCTATGATGCCTCACGCTTCTTCTTACACCAAACCAAATCATATTTAGTATACCGACAATTTATTCGAACATCATTGCATAAAAGACTACGAAGATATTAATTCATCGCTTATTGGTGGTCAAGATATCGGTGTGTTTGGTTTGGAAGGGGGCGACAATAATCAACTTTTTCCCGCTGCACGATTCCTTCTCCCTCCTCCAGTTTGGTTGTGCTAATGATCTTTATTTTTATTTTAAGTTATATTAGTTTGTATGATTAAAGCATGGTTGTAAATTATTTGCGATGCTATCTATTTGTTAAATATCTATTTCTATTATGTTTATTGAATAAATAATTGTTTGTTTATCCTATGATCAACATGATGGGCTTGGTGAATGAAAATGCCTTTAGTGGTTTCTTATTTCACCGTTTATTTATTTATTTATTTGTCGTTTGCAAGCTTTGGAAACCACCAATTAGACATGTATTGATGTTTATTATTTTACAAAGAAAAAACAATTTGATAACAGAGTATATCATTAAATTTAATTAGAAAAAATAATGATCGTGAACTTTAGCACCTTAAGAGGTTACTAGGACAAAAAAAATGGACACATACACTTCCTTCCGCAATTGTTTTCCCATATGTTATGGTAATTTCCGTTCAAGTTTAATTTTGTATACAGTAAGAGTATTTAGTAATGCAATTACTGTGATTCATGATTTTTCTCTCAATTATTTTTCACATCTAATTGATTTTATATTGCTTCTTTACGTTCTTCTTTGGAGTTTCTCCTATTTGAACTAATAAGTAGCCCTAAATTAACTATTATATTTTCTAAAACTATGAAAGGTAGGGCATGTTTGGTAAAGCTTTTCAATAGCTTTTTGAGATAAAAAAAGCTGTAAAAAGCTGTTGAAAAGAGAAAAGTTGTTGGGTTAAAAGTTGAAAATTAAGCATTTTTTTGGAAAGCTGTTGGGATAAAATAAAAATTTTTAATAATCACTTTTCAGCAAACATGCCCAAACAAAAACAAATTCTACACATTCAATTATATATATAATTGATTCTACACATAATCGATTTTTCAAATAATCTAATTTTTACAGCTATTTCAAACACACTCTAAGTCTACTGTGTAGTTTTGGAGCCAAAATTATAATGCATTCTATTGTTTATTCTTCCTGAACTTATACATGTTACAGACTAAAGCAGAAATAAAATGCACAACAAACAGTAAGAGGAAGAAGCCGTGAGAATAATTGGAGGAAGTCTGCAGCGGTTTGTTTTTATTAACCTGAAAGCCCAATAAATAGGCAATATACACATGATTGGATAAGCATCACTACTTCAAACGTGCAACAACAGAAAGATAAAAACTGACTTTGCAAACTACCCACTCCCATACTTACTTGGTCAACTTAGAAACTGACTAACAAAGGCTCAACAATATTGCAACATACACATAGTAATATCCAACTAAAATAATAAATAAATAAATAAATATTTTATTTTTAACACTCCCTTAATTTGAAAGTTTGCAAACTATCAGGTTAATGAGATTCAACAAGAATGCAAACTCCAAGCAAATTTCTTATTTTTTGAAATGCAGACAACTTTAATGATTTGGTCATGATCTCAACCATTTGTTCTTCATTCCTGCAATAGTGAAGATCAATAATTCCTTCATTTGATAGGTCCCTTAGAAAAAAATCTCACATCTATGTGCTTCTTCTTCCATGCATGACAAGATTTTTAGACAGCTTTATAATTGAGCTATTATCACAATAGATGAGAGTTGGATCTTGTTGCTTGAAATGAACTTCTTCAAGAATATTCCTTAGCCAAATTGCTTGGCAAGCACATGCTGCTACAAACTTTGCTTCTGTTGTGGACAAAGTAACGATGGGCTGCTTTCGTGATGACCAAGAGATAGTTGTCGACCCCATCATAAAAACATGACCAGATGTGCTTTTTCTGTCATTTAGATCCCCTACATAGTCACTATCACTGAATCTCAATAGGTTCATCTTTTTTCCATTCTCATAAAACAATCCAAAATCTTTCGTTTCTTGCAAGTAACAATGGATTCTCTTAGCAGTTAACAAATGCATCTCTTTTGGCTTTTTCATGTATCTGCTAATGAGACTCACAGAATACATTATATCTGGTCTTGTAGCAGTTAAGTACATCAAACTGCCCACAATTTGCTTGAAGAATGTGCTATCCACTTGCTTTCCTTCATGGTCTTTATTGAGTTTCATACCAATCTTAGTTGGAGTGCTAATAGGATTGCAATCCTTCATATGAATAGCACATACTTCTTTTGTGAAACAAAAATTCCATTAGCTGATTGCACTATTTCTAAGTCAAGAAAATAATGCAATTTGCCAAGATCAAACATATCAAATTCTTTCATCGTAGACTTCTTGAATTTTTCAAACATTGCATTATCATTACCAGTAAAAATATAAGATCATCCACATATAAGCATACAATGAGTATTTTTCCATCATCACCAATTTTGACAAATAAAGTATGCTTATATGGACATTTCTTAAAACCTTCCTTTGAAAAATATGCATTTACACGACTATACCAAGCTCGTGGTGCTTGTTTTAGTCCATATAATGCCTTTTTTTAGTTTATACATCTTATATTCATTCCCTTGTTTCACATAACTATGGGATTGATCAATAAATACATGTTCTTCCATATCACCATGTAAAAATGCTGATTTCACATCTAGTTGAAAGATAGGCCATGAGTTTTGAGCTGCCAATGCAATCACTATCCTTATTGTGTCATGCCGTGCAATAGGAGCAAAGATTTCTTTATAGTCCACGCTAAAATCTTGATTATAGCCTTTAGCAATTAGGCATGCTTTGTATTTGTCAACCTTCCCATTTGCATTCAGCTTGGTCTTATATACCCACTTAACACCAATTGTCTTATGTCCTTCTGGAAGATCACTAAGCTCCCAAGTATTGTTTCTTTCAATTGCACCAATACATCCATAGCTTCTCTCCACTTTGAGTCTTGGACAACATCCTCGAAAAATTCAGGATCACAATCTGCAAAAAGAGCAAAATGCACCAATTGATCATCATTTTGATCAATTCCTGGGACATGATAATCACCCATCCAAGCAGGTCTCTTTCTACTTCTTGGTGATCTCAACTCTCTAGCAGGAACATCCAAGTCTTGAGCTGCAACTTGCTCATCTTGAGTAATAGTCGGTGGCTGATGTTCTGCATTATCCTTATCATTAAAATCTAGAAAAATAATTTGTTGGCCTGCATCTTCATTACAATTCCAAAAGCTTTCCTCATCAAATACAACATCTCGGCTTATGACAATTTTCTTAGTGTTAAGATTATACAATTTATAAGCTTTAAAATTATCACTAACACCAAGAAAAATACACTTATCTCTTTTGTTGTCTAATTTGCTCCTCTACTGATCTAGAATGTGAGCATTTGCAATGCACCCAAAAATTTTGAAGTGGCTAACATCTGGTCTCCTATCACTCTATGCTTCTTCTGGTGTTTTATTTTTTACTATCAATGTTGGACTTCTATTCAAAATGTGAGTACTCTAATTGACTGCTTCGGGCCAAAAACTTTTAAAGATGTTGCTCATTGTCAAAATGATTAAAAGATTTTTTTTTTAAGTATTGTACCTAAAAAATTTTAACTAATAATATTTAAAAACATACTTAAATAATAAAATTATTTTATAATAAATATTATATTTTTTTATTTTATTTTATTTATCAATTAGTCTTTTTTCTCAATAATTTTTGTTAATTAAAAATAAAATTTAAGTTTATATTTTAATTTTGTCATGTGTTTTATTCTTTAGTAAAAAATTACAAATTTTTGTTAACTTTAGCATTATTTTATTAACTCCTAAGTCATGTGGAGTAAACCTTATTGTTTCGAGAATTCTTAATTCATGAGTTGTAGGGAGGGATTTATGTCACCACAAACAGAGACTAAAGCAATTGTTGGGTTCAAAACTGGTGTTAAAGATTATAAATTAAATTATTATACTCATGACTATGAAACCAAATATACTGATATCTTGGCAGCATTCTGAGTAACTCCTCAACCTGGAGTTTTTCCTGAAAAAGCAGGTGCCGCGTAGCTGCCGAATCTTCTACAGGTACATGGACAACTGTGTGGAATGAGCGTTTACTTAAGTTTACTTAATAATAAAAGAACTTTATTTTATTTTATTTTTGCCTATAAAATAATTGTAACTTCGGAGAAGAAAATAAGGTTTCTTTTCGTACATGGAATCTATATATGTAGATAACATATGCATTTTTTCCATAGATACATTGGAAATGTTTGATTCATGCTCAAGCCGGTACGAGACAATTTTTGTAACGGAACTAGAAAGGAAGTTTCCTTCAATTTTTCAGGAGTTGGGGCGAGGAGAAATGGTTCGGTGGTTCATTAATCCTCTTTCAAGTTAAGGGAAGGGATGGCTGGTTGGAAAGGTTAGGACGAAATGAGCCGATAAGAATAACATTTCAGATGCAAGAGAGTCTTCAACTTTCGGTTCTGAGGATCTAATTTTTGAACGCCGAGAATACACACGACCAACTTCCACAAAAGACTAGCAGCAACTAGAAGATGACGGGACTAGAGTTCGTAGAAGTTGGACTTATATTAAAAATTTTAAATTTTAAATATATATAAAGATTAAATAGTAAATAATATAATTTTAAATAAATTTTTTATAATAATATTTTTTTTATAAATTGTGATGTATTTTTTTTATTAATATAAATTTTTTGGATACAGTATTTATATAAAAATTTAAATATACATCTTTTATATTGATATATTTTATATTTCTATTTTGTCCCATACACCTTTTATATTGACACATTTTATATCTCTTTTTGGTTTCTTTAAAAATATTAGTTTCGCCTCCATTAAAACTAATGATGAATAATTAGGATCTGGATCCAGTGTAGTTAATCATAGAAATTGGACGTGTAGTTTTATTTTTGTTTAAGTAAAAATAAACTCGCAAAAGATTGTAATTGAATAT